CCGCTCTAAAGGTAGTCCCGATTATTGCTGACTTAAGCATCGGAGTGTCTACCCCGAGTTCCACCTCGGGGCTTTGCAGGTCTTCCCGGAGTGCAAGCGCGAATTGAAGAAGGACTTCTGGTTTGGTGCAATTACAATTAGCAAATATAATGTGAACTATTCTGGCTAACCATCCTAAAGCTGAATCTAAAATTTTTTTCCTGAAGGTTCTTGGCAAAAAGAGAATTTCTGGCATTTGACTAGGAGCAAAGAAAGAGATTTCTTTGGTCCATTATTGATTTTAGAGCATATGATTCCCTCAAAATTTTAGAGAATTTTCAGTGAAAATTTTGGTAGAATGCCATTATAGAAACAAGCTTTCAAAGGATGCCAGTGGTTATGGCCACATGGTCATCAGTTAAAACCACCCAATTTGTTTAATTTTTATCTTAGTTTGATTATTAAGAACATTTACTATTAATAAAATAATTAATATTTATTATTTAATAAAGTAAAATCAATTTATAAATAAATATTTTTAGATATCATAATAAACTATTTAAAAAAAATTATAAATTAATTAAAAAAACAGTTGAATTGTGTGGACATAACCACATTTTCATTAAATAAACACCCTTTACTTGAGTGAAGTTTGACAAAGCCTTTGTCAAACTAGTACTTTGACAATTCTTAAAGTTGGCATGGGACTTACTTTTGCGACTTTTGTTATCCAGCTTGTGTTCCATGTATTTGTATTGAAGTTTCACATTTTTTCTACAAGTGAAATTGGTATTATTTTGATTTTTTCTTTTTTCTAAAAAAAAAAATAGTAAATTGCACACAAACTCAATTAGTTCCTATTAGTGGAAACAGGATAGAGTAATGTCAAGCTGATCTTAATAATTCTAAGGATATTTCTTCTCATATTTATTCATCTACTTTTCTAAAAAAAATAAGAAAAAGAAAGTTGATAATAAAAAATCTCCTTGATGGAGAAGCAAGCTAGACGCATAAGAGTTATAGCATCCTTGATGAGTTGAATTTTTAAATATATTAATGTTGATTTTTTGTCTTAATACTATTGATATTAAATATTTTACTTAATTTTTATAATTTTTATTTTCTGTATAGAGAATGACTTAATTGGAAGAAATCAAAATTTTTAGGACTAAACTAAAGACATTAGAAATGTGAGGATCAAAGTGTCAAATTGTGAAAGATGAGAGACCAGAACAGTTTTACCGTAAGAAACAAAATTGCTTAATGGCCCAAAACTCGACATGGACTTCCAAATGCCGCAAATTGGACAAAAACCTACTTTTAGCCTCTTATCTTATCAAATTTGAAGGTTTAACCTCTCACATTATATTATAACATTTTAGCCCCTCACCTTACTAGATTTATAGGTTTTAGCCCCTCACCTATTAAAATTGAAGAAAATATCCCTCACTTTGTACTAACTGTTAACTATGTTAGCTGAAAGTAAGTTTTTATCAACTAACAGTCAACTAACAGTCAACTAACAGTCAACTAATAGTCAATTAATAGAATTAACAAAATATTATAAAATTAATTCTATTAATTCTGTTAGCTAAAAGAAGATTTTTGTAAGCTAACAGTCAACTAACATTTAGTTAATAAAGTTAACAATCAGTTAACAGAGTTAACAGTCAGTTAACAAAACTAACAGAATGCTACAAAGTGAAGGTTATTTTCTTCAATTTTAATAGGTAATGGGTTAAAAGTGTTATAATAATATAAGGTGAGGAGCTAAAACTTACAAATTCAGTAAAGTGAGGGGTACAAATATCATAGTATAAGGTGAGGAGCTAAAATCTTCAAACTTGATAAGATAAGGAGCTAAAAGTAAGCTATTGCCAGCAAATTGAAGGTAGTGGCACCTATTACAGGGTATCAACCCCTTGAAGATTTTCAAGCAATTGTCGTTTATCAACGTTTCTCGGTCTCTTAGTTTTTGATATTTTATTAGATCTTAGTATTTTTGGTCACATGTCATGTATGAGGTATACTTGATATTTAATTTAAAAATTTTTAAATATAATTTTTTAAATTTAGTATTTATCTAAATACTTGAAAATTTATATTTAGTATTTAATTTAACAAGTAATAAGTAACTTATGGGTATATATTTATATATTTATTAAGTGATATTTTATTTTATTTTTTTAATTAAAATTTAATAAATATTATTTACTTTCAATGTAAATTTAAATATAATCTAAAATAATAATAAAGAAATAAAATTTAATTTCAAATTAAGAACTCAAATTTATATACCATTAAAAAATTAAACTCAATTAAATAATTAACAATAAAGAACAAAAAAATATATATCCAAAAAAATGAAGAATGAAAATAAATTTAATAATAGAATAAGAATCATTCAAAAAAGATGTCCAAGTTTTTAAGCTTATAGTCTCCCTAATCCTCTATTTTAGTTTGTTAGAAAGAGATAGTAGCTGGTGGTATTATATTTATTTTAATATTCTGATGTCCATGATTTTGATTTACGATTCTTATCCTATTAAATTTGAAACTAAATAATTATCTATATAATAAATAAAGATTATGGTTCAAAAATCACTAATAGAAAGGTAAAAAAAAAAGCTAAAAAAAAAAAAAAAACTTTGAAGTTTTTAGTACTCATTGTTGCTTTAGAGTGTAAGAAAGGAAAAAAGTTGTTGATTTCGTGTGTAATATGTGTTTAGTTTAAAATTTGTTATTTGTTAGTTGCATGTGTGATTTCTTTTATTTTTAGTTTTTTATTTTATTATTTTTATTTTTAAAAATTATTATTATATAAATATTAAGTACAATAAGTATATATAAAATTTCAATTATATAAATACATGTAATATATCAATTAAATAAAATAGTTAAATAAGTCAAATAAATATTTTAAAACCCTTATACTTGTTATTTGACTTAATATTTATGGATATTCTATTTTCATACCCATTATTTACCCTTTTTTTACAGTTTAGATAAGGTATTTATCCAAATAAGTAAAATACTTATAAGTAATTGGTATAACTGTACCAAATGCTCACCCCTAATTTTTATATTTTTTTATTATTTTAATAATATATAAAATATTAATTATAATAAATATTAAATATATTAAATATATTTTATATATTTTTAAGATATTAAAAAATAAAAAATCTATAATTACAAATATAGACAAATATTATCAAACTAAATCTAAACTTTAATTTCTTTTTGATATAAATACCAATTCAAGATCAAACTTCAATTTCTTTTGGATGTAAATACCAATTCAATTTTCGGTTAACCTCTTTTAGAGTTCTTTTGGACTTTTTTTTGAGCATTTTTTAAATTCAAGTTAGAAGCGTTGAAAATTATAATAAAAGATCAGGAGGTCAATATTTTAAATTGAATTTTATTTTTCTTAAATTTTATTCTTTATTTTAACATGGATTCTTGTTTTATAACTTTGACTTTAAATTCTATTATTTTTATTATGAACTAATATAGAACTAATATAGCTAATTAAGATTACTTTGTAGTCTAATCAATTCAATATAGAATTGTATAATTTTTATATTTTTGTGATAGCTATTTTATGATAAGCATATATTATTGGTTTTTAGTGTTTTTTAATATTTGATTACCATTAAAATTGATATGAAAAGTATAATAGAAAGCAAGAAGAGATTTTATATAATAGTTTTTAATATTATATGCTATAAATTGAACAAAAGTCATAAATGGACCAATGTTTGAAAGTTTTTATGTAAGTTAAGAAATTTTACAAACAAACATAATATTTATTTATTTATTTAAATTAAAGTGAATATAGATTTTGTATAATTTGAAAAAATATATTAAATATAATAAAAAATTTTACTATCACATGAATACTAAATATATTAAAAATATAATATTATGAAATCTATATGGATTGATTATAGTGAAATTGAATATCTTAATATCTTATATTTTAATCAATTTTATTTTAAATTGTTAATTTCTTTTAATTAATTTTAATTAGAAATTCTTCATTTTTATTAATTCAAATAATTTTGAAATTAGTTATTTTCATTGCTTAGTCATAATTTCTATGAAAAAAAATACTCTAGTAATCACTTTATTACTTAGGCCCCGTTTGGTATAACGGTTTTTGGGTAGCGGTTAGCGGTTTTACCTAAACCGCTAAATATAGGTGTTTGGTAAATTTACATATTTCGAAACCGCTATAAATAAAGTGTTTGGTAAAATTTTTATTTAGCAGTTTGAGTCTAGCGGATAGCGGTTAGAGTCCAAACCGCTAGCGGATTTAAAAAGCTAGTTTATGGAGCTTTTTGTACCGAACTGCTAACGGATTAAAATTTTTTAATTTTATTTACAAATTTATCCATTTTAATTTTTTAATTTGT